CTGTTTCTGTACATGAAAATCGCGAGTTTTTTCCGGTGTGCGTAATGAAATAAGAATTTGCAATGTCAATGACGTATTTATAATTATATTCATTTTTGAATCTCAGGCTGGCGTTTGTAGACGTGTAGAATTGAGGCATGAATTTCGGCCACTGTACAAATTCTATATTCATAATCTATAAGCTATAGGCTGTTGAAAAATACCATGTTCAGTTATATATCGGCTGTTTCTGTACATGAAAATCGCGAGTTTTTCCCGTGTGCGCAATGAAATAAGAATTTGCAATGAGGTATTAATTATATTCATTTTTGAATCTCAGGCTGGCGTTTGGGGCCGTATAGAATTGAGGCATGAATTTCGGCCACACTACAAATTCCATATTCATAATCTATAAGCTATAGGCTTTTTAGAAATACCATATTCAATTATATATCGGCTGTTTCTGTACATGAAAATCGCGAGTTTTTCCGGTGTGCGTAATGAAATAAGAATTTGCAATGTCAATGACGTATTTATAATTATATTCATTTTTGAATCTCAGGCTGGCGTTTGTAGACGTGTAGAATTGAGGCATGAATTTCGGCCACTGTACAAATTCCATATTCATAATCTATAAGCTATAGGCTTTTTAGAAACACCATACTCAATTATATATCGGCTGTTTCTGTAGATGAAAATCGCGAGTTTTTCCCGTGTGCGCAATGAAATTAGGAATTTGCAATGTCAATGACGTATTAATTATATTCATTTTTGAATCTCAGGCTGGCGTTTGGAGCCGTGTGGAATTGAGGCATGAATTTCGGCCACACTACAAGTTCCATATTCATAATCTATAAGCTATAGGCTTTTTATAAATACCGTATTCAATTATATATCGGCTGTTTCTGTACATGAAAATCGCGAGTTTTTCCCGTGTGCGCAATGAAATTAAGAATTTGCAATGTCAATGACGTATTAATTATATTCATTTTTGAATCTCAGGCTGGCGTTTGGGGCCGTGTGGAATTGAGGCATGAATTTCGGCCACACTACAAGTTCCATGTTCATAATCTATAAGCTATGGGCTTTTTATAAATACCGTATTCAATTATATATCGGCTGTTTCTGTACATGAAAATCGCGAGTTTTTCCCGTGTGCGCGATGAAATAAGAATTTGCAATGACGTATTAATTATATTCATTTTTGAATCTCAGGCTGGCGTTTGGGGCCGTATAGAATTGAGGCATGAATTTCGGCCGCACTACAAATTCCATATTCATAATCTATAAGCTATAGGCTTTTTAGAAATACCATATTCAATTATATATCGGCTGTTTCTGTACATGAAAATCGCGAGTTTTTCCCTGGGGCGCAATGAAATTAAGAACTTGCAATGTCAATGACGTATTAATTATATTCATTTTTGAATCTCAGGCTGGCGTTTGGGGCCGTATAGAATTGAGGCATGAATTTCGGCCACACTACAAGTTCCATATTCATAATCTATAAGCTATAGGCTTTTTAGAAATACCATATTCAATTATATATCGGCTGTTTCTGTACATGAAAATCGCGAGTTTTTTCCGGTGTGCGTAATGAAATAAGAATTTGCAATGTCAATGACGTATTTATAATTATATTCATTTTTGAATCTCAGGCTGGCGTTTGTAGACGTGTAGAATTGAGGCATGAATTTCGGCCACTGTACAAATTCTATATTCATAATCTATAAGCTATAGGCTGTTGAAAAATACCATGTTCAGTTATATATCGGCTGTTTCTGTACATGAAAATCGCGAGTTTTTCCCGTGTGCGCAATGAAATAAGAATTTGCAATGAGGTATTAATTACATTCATTTTTGAATCTCAGGCTGGCGTTTGGGGCCGTATAGAATTGAGGCATGAATTTCGGCCACACTACAAATTCCATATTCATAATCTATAAGCTATAGGCTTTTTAGAAACACCATACTCAATTATATATCGGCTGTTTCTGTACATGAAAATCGCGAGTTTTTCCCGTGTGCGCAATGAAATTAAGAATTTGCAATGTCAATGACGTATTAATTATATTCATTTTTGAATCTCAGGCTGGCGTTTGGGGCCGTGTGGAATTGAGGCATGAATTTCGGCCACACTACAAGTTCCATATTCATAATCTATAAGCTATAGGCTTTTTATAAATACCGTATTCAATTATATATCGGCTGTTTCTGTACATGAAAATCGCGAGTTTTTCCCGTGTGCGCGATGAAATAAGAATTTGCAATGACGTATTAATTATATTCATTTTTGAATCTCAGGCTGGCGTTTGGGGCCGTATAGAATTGAGGCATGAATTTCGGCCGCACTACAAATTCCATATTCATAATCTATAAGCTATAGGCTTTTTAGAAATACCATATTCAATTATATATCGGCTGTTTCTGTACATGAAAATCGCGAGTTTTTCCCTGGTGCGCAATGAAATTAAGAACTTGCAATGTCAATGACGTATTAATTATATTCATTTTTGAATCTCAGGCTGGCGTTTGGGGCCGTATAGAATTGAGGCATGAATTTCGGCCACATTACAAGTTCCATATTCATAATCTATAAGCTATAGACTTTTTAGAAATACCATATTCAATTATATATCGGCTGTTTCTGTACATGAAAATCGCGAGTTTTTTCCGGTGTGCGTAATGAAATAAGAATTTGCAATGTCAATGACGTATTTATAATTATATTCATTTTTGAATCTCAGGCTGGCGTTTGTAGACGTGTAGAATTGAGGCATGAATTTCGGCCACTGTACAAATTCTATATTCATAATCTATAAGCTATAGGCTGTTGAAAAATACCATGTTCAGTTATATATCGGCTGTTTCTGTACATGAAAATCGCGAGTTTTTCCCGTGTGTGCAATGAAATAAGAATTTGCAATGACGTATTAATTATATTCATTTTTGAATCTCAGGCTGGCGTTTGGGGCCGTATAGAATTGAGGCATGAATTTCGGCCACACTACAAATTCCATATTCATAATCTATAAGCTATAGGCTTTTTAGAAATACCATATTCAATTATATATCGGCTGTTTCTGTACATGAAAATCGCGAGTTTTTCCCGTGTGCGCAATGAAATTAACAACTTGCAATGTCAATGACGTATTAATTATATTCATTTTTGAATCTCAGGCTGGCGTTTGGGGCCGTATAGAATTGAGGCATGAATTTCGGCCACACTACAAGTTCCATATTCATAATCTATAAGCTATAGGCTTTTTAGAAATACCATATTCAATTATATATCGGCTGTTTCTGTACATGAAAATCGCGAGTTTTTCCGGTGTGCGTAATGAAATAAGAATTTGCAATGTCAATGACGTATTTATAATTATATTCATTTTTGAATCTCAGGCTGGCGTTTGTAGACGTGTAGAATTGAGGCATGAATTTCGGCCACTGTACAAATTTCATATTCATAATCTATAAGCTATAGGCTTTTTAGAAACACCATACTCAATTATATATCGGCTGTTTCTGTACATGAAAATCGCGAGTTTTTCCCGTGTGCGCAATGAAATTAAGAATTTGCAATGTCAATGACGTATTAATTATATTCATTTTTGAATCTCAGGCTGGCGTTTGGAGCCGTGTGGAATTGAGGCATGAATTTCGGCCACACTACAAGTTCCATATTCATAATCTATAAGCTATAGGCTTTTTATAAATACCGTATTCAATTATATATCGGCTGTTTCTGTACATGAAAATCGCGAGTTTTTCCCGTGTGCGCAATGAAATAAGAATTTGCAATGACGTATTAATTATATTCATTTTTGAATCTCAGGCTGGCGTTTGGGGCCGTATAGAATTGAGGCATGAATTTGGGCCACACTACAAATTCCATATTTGTAGTGCGCCATCTAATAGCTCTCTAGACACCAAGGTCAAGTTTACACCGACCGTTTCTTATGGAATCTACTTATCTACTCAGGGACCTGCTGGCTAGAAACCAGCCGACGAGAACTGGTTGTGAGTCCCTGACCTCATGGACCCTAAAATTAAAACATTTGAAAAGATGAAAAATATAGATTTTAATTTTTAAATCCCCCTCCCCGATCTCGGCGCTCGCCAACAATTCAGTTGGGGCAAAAAGATTAATTAGAGACTGAAATGTTTCATGTTTGATCCAATCTTGATCCAACCGTCACTGGGCCTTGGCCCCATCAGATGTTGCTCGTTCGTCGTCCTTTTCAAGACCCATCACGTCGCTGGTCGTCGTCCTTTTCAATACCCCATCACGTCCCTGGTTCCACTTTCCTTTGGAGCAGTGCAGGATATACCTTTTTAAAAAGTCTGCCTTGTGACGTCGTTAGGTCGGTTTAGGCATGAATATGGGCCACTCTATAGACTCTATGTTATAATATATAGGTTATAGCCTTTCTAGATATCTAATTGTGCCATGTCTGTAATAAATCTAAAGTGCTACGGATTCGCCATAATATGAATTGTGCTGTGAACGAATGTGGTGGTAACCTCACAGTGTTTCATTTTGGTGAGAGCGAAAGTGCGGTTGAATCCTGTGTTGAATCCTGTGGTAGCTTCACACTAGTAGAATGGAAGATGGCGATTCTTTTGGTATATTTGTTATTATTATACGTTGAAAAGAAGCAAAAAGACGAGCATTTGAATCAGGCGGAACATTCAAAATGCAACAGCAAAATTGATAATGTGTCATTTGCATAAATTTCACCGCATTGATCATTTCAAGGTAAGAAATTCGCTTGAAATTGAGCGAGAAACAATAAAATTATATGAATATTTCTGAATATATAGTATCGATCAAGCGGAATTTTTTGGTGATATTTTCGTATGTCTACTGCAAATACTCGCGAGGTTCTTTAATATTTAATCTTCCCGTCATATACGTCGGAAATTAATATTGGCGGATCGAATTGAGTCTCCCCTTGATGAGTAAAATCGTCTGGCATTAGAGAGAGTAAAATACTAAAGTAGGGTGCATCAGGCAGCATCGCCACTCAATGGGTTAACTAGACACATGGGCAGATAGGCTAGCTAGTTAACCCGGCCATTAAGCGCCAGCGCTCTCCCCTTGACGAGTAAAATCGTCTGGCGTTAGACAGAGTAAAATGCTAAAGTAGGGTGCATCAGGGAGCATCGCCACTGAATAGGTTAACTAGACATATGGGCAGATAGGCGGGTTAAGCCATTAAGCGCCAGCGCTCTCCCCTTGACGAGTAAAATTGTCTGGCGTTAGGCAGAGTAAAATACTAAAGTAGGGTGCATCAGGGTGCATCGCCACTCAATGGGTTAGGATAACCAGGAGCCGGTTGTTTCAAAGGCGTTTAGCTTAAACGGTGGATAAGCACAAATTTCAAAACATTCCTATTCATTTTGTAAAAAATTGAACTTCAATTTTATCAACGAAATGTGTAGTTCAATGCATGGTTGTTATGTTTGGACAGAAAATATTAGTTTGATTGTAGTCTATAGTTCATGGATTTGTTTGATAGTTGAGCTAAATATCCTTGATACAACCGGCCCCTGGCTTTCAACTTTTAGACAGAATAAAAATTATGTACCGGTACATAAATACAGATGCAATGCCATCAACATAGTGGTTATGATGATGATGACATGCCAAGGTTTTGGAAGATTAGCAATTTAATTGTAGTTGTTGCCAAAAATCTTGCAGCAATCCAGTTTGTGATGCAGCCACTAGATAGCATCTGTTTTAATTAATTAATAGCCATTTCCAGGGTTGAGGTTACCATTCCAGATGATGACCAGCTGATGGAAATCCGACAGCAGAAAAAAATTCAAAAAAGAGTTGAGAGTTAGACATAAAGAGTTGATACCCTAAAAACTATATGGCATTATTTTGCATACATGCAGTGAACCCTCTCCTTTAGAGGAAGGGGTCGCCACATAAAGGCTAATTAACACATTAAGCCATAAGCCTAAAAGGCCTATGTACAAGGCTTTCCATCTGGTTTAAAAACAAAGCAGAGTGAAGTAGTCACAATGGCATACACTCTGGTTGCAAGTTGAAAAGGTTTACCTTTGATGAGGAATATAATATCCAGCATTGGACAAAGTAGTAAATAATCATAGAGCATCAGCCATTTTCCAATTGAGACTGCAAAGCATACATGTGTGGATTGTTTGGAGCGACAGTGCAATAGACATCGCCAGTCATAAGACACAGAACCAATACATCCAATAGTGTAAACAACTTTTAGGAAATTTGTTTAGAGATAATGAGGCATCTTTCAAACTTTCTTGCACCAATTTTAACTCATAAAGTTTCTTCCCACTTTGTTTTGTCCCTCCAAACAATCCATAGATGTTATGCAGATTGTCGATTCGGAAATGGCTAATTGTGGTCTAAGGCTCAATGAATTTACAAATGCATGACAAACTCTTGCTACTTAATGGGTAACAATGTCTCACTGAATTATTCCGCAATGATGATGTAAAAGTATTGGAAAGTTTTGTTAAGTGTATGTTTTAGTTACTGCAGAAGCTGCTTGAAAATTAAACTGATGTATTTCTCATAATTCTTTGGATTTTCTTGCTATCAAATATTTGAGTATTAGGGACTGGTCATTATTTATGGTAGGGGTGGGGGCCAAAGGGAAAGTATAATGAAGCCGGAAAAATCATTACCCCACCTTTTTCAAAACAAAATTTCTAGCTACCCCACCGGTGAAATGCCAGAAAATTTTTTTACCTCACCCAAACCTGCATGTTTTGTTGCAATATATGTCAAAGGTTCAGACATAAAATATGTAATGAAACAGTTTAGTATTTTGTATGACAATTGTGTATTACTCATCAAGGTACAAAATTGCCCTCTGCTGTTAGAGAGTAAATAATAATTATTATAGGGTGCTTTGACCACAGTGGCCATTATAATTAAAAGGGAATAGGACTGATTGGTAATACTGGTTTACCAATATCCCTTATCCCTTATTTCCTGTGGAGTAATTAAAGCACACTAACAGCCATGCCTTATTATATGGGTTACCCCTGCAATAGTAAGGTACTATATAAAGAATTATAGTTATCTAAAGGCTTAAAATTTGTCTACTTGTAAAATTGAAATATGAATGGGTTTTTATAGTTTGTATTCAACGCTGTATTCCCTTTTCAGTTTTCACAAGATAGTGTAATGCTAGTCCCATAAACAAAGCTAGTCACATATATTAACCATGCATGCACTGATATGAAACCTGTACAGCATATATTTCAGTATTTTAGAACACTAACCGTATTTCACCACCGTATCTCTTTCCCACTTTAAAGTTTCACTGTATATAATTTGGTTTCTTTCACATTCTTGCATTTCTTTATTAATTAAAATGTAATTTTATGTTGAAACAGTTTCACAAAACGTGTGCTCACCCATGATTGCAACTATCAAAATTCTAAAATTTTCTCTGAAATTCCTTGAACATTTCCTTACTATATTTAGATAACTATAATACATGTATTATCACGGAATTTCAAAGGAAATCCTTAAGAATTCCCAAGGAATTCTTGAAGTTCATGAACAATTTAATATTTTAATTTGTAAACAATACAACGATACTAAAGTATATGTCCCATGTGAAAATATCTGAATTTAGAAAATGATGTTACTGTAAATTAATGAGAAAAATTGCTGTTATACAACGTGAAGATAAAGATATTCATCTGATTTCCAAGTATGATTATATAAACAATTAAATTAATCTGTAAAACGGGTAAATGGATTTCTCTTATTTTATCCATGATTATTTTATCCATTTATATGATCTGCTAGTAAAGAAAAACAACTAGTTGCCAAAGACTCAGAACAATGTTTGAGCTGAACATATTAATTATGAACTAACCATTGGAATGATTCTCCAGATTCACAAGGGGCATATTTCATGATTTGCTACCTGAATTGTCCACATATGGTTTACAAGCACATACTGGATATAAATATTATTGTACAGTATCAAGTGTAGATGCCCAAAAATTAAATCCTGAAAATTTAACAGACTCTACATATATACTTTTTGAGATATGTAATAAGGGCATGTTAATATGGAGGCGAGGCTGGTTGCCCGGGGTTAGGAGCTATCTAGTACAGACTTAAGGTCACTTTTCTTGAGGCAAGATCTCG